CCGTACGCCTTTCCCAATCTTGAACCAGTCTGTTGTTCCGTGGTTAGTTCTGACTGTTGCTACTTGGTCCTTAAACAGATTCCTCAGGAGAGAGACAAGGTGGCTTGGGATGCCCATCCCACCAAGAACTTGCCACAATCAAAGGCTTTAGAATAGTCAATGAAGCAGAAATAGATGTTTTTCTGAAACTCCCTGCCTTTCTCCATTATCCAGCGGATATTGGCAATCTGGTCTCTCGTTCCTCTGCCTTTTCTAAACCCAGCTTGAACATCTGGCAACTCTCGCTCCATGTATTGCTGGAGTCTTCCTTGCAGGATCTTGAGCATTACCTTACTGGCATGAGAAATAAGGGCCACTGTACAACATATAAGGTAGCTTATATATTTCTGGGGTGGGTGTCAGTGTGAAGCCATCCGGTAATTGAGAAATTGTGAAAGAATGCATTGTCAAAGTTGTTGGCTGTTTAGGCTCTGATAACATTTCAAAACACAAACAAGCCTCTTTCAAGGAGAACCATAACTGATCAGCAATATGAATTACTCTACAAACTTAGAAGAACAACTTTGTGTAACACTTCAAAAGAAAAATATAGATTATTTAATTGCTCTGAATGAATCAACTGATACTACTGACTCAACACAGGTTTTATACTTTATTTGGGTCATAACAGAAGATTTTCCTTGCTACAAAGACTTACTCGTTTTGGGCACTCTTGTCAACAGAACACAGGGATTGATATCTTCCACAACTTTCAAGATAAATGTGGTGAAATTGGACTGAATTTGGTAAATTTAGTGAGTGTATGTACAAACAGTGCACATCCCATGTCAGAAAAACATAAAGGGTTTATTGCACAGATTTTAAAAAAAATATTAACAGATCCAGATGCTCTCATTTATTTTCATTGACACTTTGCAGCAACTTATAAGTACTGTATTTGCAGCAACTCATAAGACCTCAACACCTCTGAGGATGCTTGCCATAGATGCAGGCAAAACGTCAGAAGAGCATGCATCTAGAACAGTGGTTCTCAACCCTCCTAATGCCGTGACCCCTTAATACAGTTCCTCATGTTGTGGTGACCCCCAACCATAACATTATTTTTGTTGCTACTTCATAATTGTAACTTTGCTATTGTTATGAATCGTCATGTAAATATCCAATATGCAGGATATAGTTTCATTCACTGGACCACATTTGGCACAAATGTTGAATACTGGTGGGGTTGGGGGAGAAGGTCGATTTTGTTATTTGGGATTTGGAGTTGCTGGGATTTATAGTTCACCTACAATCAAAGAGCATTCTGAACTCCACTAATGATAGAATTGAACCAAACTTGGCACACATAAAAAACCCATGACCAATAGAAAATCCTGGGTTTGATGGGCATTGACCTTGAGTTTTCGAGTTGTAGTTCACCTACATTCAGAGAGAACTGTGGACTCAAACAATGATGGATATGGACCAAACTTGACATGAATACTCAATATGCCCAAATGTGAACACTGGTGGAGTTTGGGGAAAATAGGCCTTGACATTTGTGAGTTGTAGTTGCTGGGATTTATAGTTCACCTACACTCAAAGAGCATTCTGAACCCCACCACCAATTGAATTGGACCAAACTTCCCATACCGGACCCCCGTGACCAACAGAAAATACTGTGTTTTCTGATGGTCTTTGGCGACCCCTCTAACACTCCCTGGTGACCCCCGCAGGGGTCCCGACCCCCAGGTTGAGAACCACTGATCTAGAACATGGTCATATAGCCCCCAAAAAACCTACAACAATCCAGTTATTCCGGCCATGAAAGCCTTTGACAATACAACTCATAAGTACTGTACTTTGGCCACATCATGAGAAGAAAGGAAAGCTTTGAGAAGAGTATGATGCTGGGAAAAATGGAAGGAAAAAGGAAGAAGGGCCGACCAAGGGCAAGATGAATGGATGGTATCCTTGAAGTGACTGGCTTGACCTTGAAGGAGCTGGGGGTGGTGACAGCTGACAGGGAGCTCTGGCGTGGGCTGGTCCATGAGGTCATGAAGAGTCGGAAACGACTGAACGAATAAACAGCAACAACATCAAGTATTATTAACTATATTCGATTTCATAAAATGCTAAAGTAGAGTGATAAGGTATCAAGTGTGGATTTGCGATATCATTCTAAAGTGTGTTGGTTATCACAGGGAAAGGTGTTAGCCAAAGTGATTCTAAGCTGCATCAACAGGATGTCTAGATCAAGGGAAGTCGTAGTATCCCACTATATTCTACTTTGGTCAGAATTCACCTCAATACTATGTCCAGTTCTTGGCACTACAATTCAAGAGAGATATTGACAAGTTGGGTTGTATCAAGAGAAAAGCGATCTAAATGATCAAAGGTTTGGAAGTCAAATCCTGTGAGAATCGCTATGTTTAGCTGGAAGAAGAAAAGGTTGAGATGATGGCCATGTTTAAATATTTGAAAAGATGGCACTTTGTGGAGGGGGGTAAGGTTCTTTTCTGCTGCTAGAGACCAGAACACAATGGGTAATGGGTTCAAATTGCAGAAAGAGTTTCCACGTAAATAATTAAGAAAATCTTCCTGATGGTTAGAGCTGACTAACAGTGGAATATGCTGTCTTGAGGTGTGGTGGAATTTCCTTTTCTGGTGATTTCTAAGCTAAGGCTGGATGGCCATTTGTTAGAAGTGCCTTGATTGACAAAAGGTTGGACTGGATGACCCCTGTAGTTTCTTCAACTTTAAGATTCTATGAATTGGTCTCTGTCATTTGGTAACTGATCAGATAGTATGATTCAGTTGTGAGTGATTGAATATGACAATCCAAAATCCATAAGTGTAGACACTGGTCAGTGTGGAAGGATTATGTTAAAAATGGAAAAAAAAGTCTGCAAAAAGCATCTTCATATAGTTCCCTCGTCGTTCAAGGTGGTCAGAACAGTGTGGATTATGGTGGCTATGGCGTCCCCTGTCAATCCATTAGCTCTATATGCAAATTGACATTTATTCAATGTATATATGGAAGGTAAGAAATGATATATCTGCAGACCAGTTTTTCAAGGCCCCAGCCAGGAGATTCTGGGAGCTGTGTTCCCCAAAAGTGAGTGTTACAAGAAGAATATGTGGAGCCATCAGTATTAACAGGTTGCTCCCTAGCCTCCAATTTGGCATTGAGCATGCAAAACAGGTGACTGTAGGACAGTAGGGAGGTAAAGATAGTTGTAGAACAAAGAAAATGGTCCCTTGGTGACAGTTGCAGATGCTTCCTGGGCTGCCATCCCCAACACATTTCCTTGTGTCCAACTGGATGGCCCATGAGGTCTCTTCCAGCTCTATGATTCTGTAGCTTGGGGTTCTTTTTCAAGTCCTGCTGGAACCAGCAAGTTGCTATTAATTTGAGTGTTGGTCATACGAAAGCTTACTGGCACAAC